GGTCCTTTTCCGGGAAACCACAAAGAAAACGCCGCCATTTCGCGGGGTCCCGGAAAAAATGGTCCCGCCCACCACGAAGCCAAGCATGCCCCGATTTTGCCCAAAACCGCCCCGTCCCAAGGAGCGGTCGCTCCAGGCCCTGCCTGGTGCTGCCGCTCCAGTTGCTCCAGGCCTCGGAGCTTGAAAAAAGGGAACCCGCAAGGAAGTCTCCGCACTGTTGGAGCTGAAGTTTGGTTTGAATTCCGAGGGTTTGCCCAAGGGTTTTTTCCAAGAGTTTGGAGATGCTGACCGATTTTGAAGAGTGTCTCCCACGAGTTGTTCTTTTGATCTTGACCAAGGCAAAATGAGATACGGCTGAAGAGTGGAGACGGGTGACGGAGTCGAAGCTGGGCACATGTTCGGCCAAGGCGAGAAAGGCACTTGCTCCAATACCTGAGGGACATGTTCTACTCCACTGCCGCCTGGGCAAGGAGGCAAACACTCACCAAGTGGAACGTCACTCGAAGCCTTGTGTGACGCTCGTGCTCGGTCTTTATGCCCAACATGGATCAACATGATCCGTGGCAGTGGCGCAACCTCCCGTGGAGCGGATGAAAGTCCCCAGTGGAGCGGATGACCTGATCCCAAGCCGTCATAAGGAGCCCAGCACGTGCATGACACAGGTCGGCCTTCTTTGGCGCAAGCGCTCGGAACCCGGTCATTCCTCTTGTCCCATCCCAGGCGCGAATGCCCAGTGACCCTGGTGGAAAAGGCGAGCCCTTCTTGGGGACGAGGCCCTTGGTGCGGAGATCAGGCAAAAACTGGGCCTGAAGAAGCGAGAAGGCTTCTTGTTGACGACCTGAGGGGAGATCAACAAAAATTGGGTCGCGGGTTCTCCGAGGGCCGAGCATGCGAGCCTTTCCTCCTCGATCTTCCGCTCCAAAGCCTCAATCCAGCAAGCCGGGGTACAGTGAGCATCAAGAGTTCACGCTTGAAGAAGGGAACCCAGTGGTGAAAAGGTGACATGGGGCTTGATGTCATTTGCATTCGGGAGGCTGCATGATGGCAACCCACACTTGGCAGAGAGCCTCTGTGCAGGGCTTCGCTCTGCTTGGTGGCTTGGTTTGGTGGTTTGGAGGTTGGGGGACGGTTTTCCAGTTACCCCCACAAGAATCAGGGGGTCAATTCCCCTAACCACCAATCCAAACCACCCATGAAGAGCTACCCAAATTAATTCACGCTGAACAAAAAGACAAGTCGGCTACCGCTCCCGAGGCAGGAGAAAAGCACCGCCGGCCAGCCAAAGCTATCTGCTTGAAGGACAGCAAATATTTGTGGCAAAGCTTTCGGACGGCCAAAGTGGCTGACAGATTCTATGCCACCTACCCGTGTTTGTCTGGCAACGGAGAGGGAAAAAACGAATCAAGGGGAAGGGAAAAAACCGAGCCACGGAAAAATGAGGGCCAAATCAGGGAAATTGGGGGATGAATCAACCCAACCGCAGCGCCTCGCCTGCAACGACTCGCCAGGGTCCACCGGCTCCGCCGGCGGAGTTGGGGAATCCACTGGTGCCTGCTGACGCAGGTCTGACAGACCAGCCTAGGGGCCAAAGAATTGAAAATATTCATCTTGCTGGTGCAATAGGTAGGGAATGACCCTTCCGGGTGTTGGGAATGAACCGTTTGGGGATTCCCTTAAAGGAAGCCACAGGGGATTGTTTATAGGGGTCATTCCGAGCTGCGCAGATTTGGTTTCAAAGTGCCCCACAACTCCATTCCAATTACCTTGGTCCTTGGAGCACGCCAGCGAGGCAAGCGCAACAATGTCGTGGGACGCCTGCTCTTCCAACCTCTGTTCTTTCCCCCTGGCTAAGAATGGCACGTTTCTGGGGTCCAGTATAGGGGCACCAGGGCCACCCCTCTCTTCTCAGCATCAAACCAGTGGGGCACCAGGGTTCGAACTTTCCACTCGCATTGCTTCTCCGTGTTGCCCACGAAGACCTCTACATCCAGGCCCCCATCCACAAACAGGATTCGAAGCTCTAAAGCTTTTGGGGGCTCCATTTTCAATCAAGCAGCTCAACCGAATTCATTGTGTCCAAGCATGCACAGAGACAAATTGAGATCCTGCCAAAATTGAATCGATTTGAGTGTGATTTGGAGAGATTTGAGTAGGCAAATTAGCTGAGCTGGGCTTATTGAAATTCAATGAGGCTCGTTGAAGCTCATTGGGTTTCATTGGAGAACATTGAAACTCGATACTGCGATTTGAGGGCGAGCAAGTTTGGGCTGAAAAGATTTGTGGGGGTAGGGTGCTGGAGGGTAGGTTAACCAGCTAGGACTATAGCTGCCGAACATGGAAAAAAGCGTGAAAGCGAACAGGGGGAATTGCTTTTCCGTTGCTCCAACAGAGGCCTTTTTCAGCCAATGTTCGTCTTCCAAAATCCCTGTTCTCCGGTCAGCTGGGACTGCACCCGTCACAGGTCGGGTGCTACCAACCGGTACATCATCTTGGACGGTAAAACGTGGAACTGGGCAACGGGCACCTCTTCAGGTGACTTGGGCGGTTTGGGCTTCAGGTGACGTGCGGCTTGAGGTTTGAGAGGTGTGCCATGCCCCCAGGGCCAGGGGATACACCCCAGCATGCGCCTTCGCGCAAGCCTCGCCAGCTTCACAAGCCGCCTACGCTGCCAGGGGGCAAGGCACGCGACGCGGAACATGGCAGAAGCCTCTGGCCACGGCCTATGGAAACACGGAGCCTGAAAACTCGTTGGAGCAACGAAACCTCCGCGCAAGCAGAAAAAGCCGCGTGCAACAACCCACTGCGGAAGCGGCGATACTAAGAGTATGGGTTCGGACAAAACAGCCACCAACATTTGTCATGGTACACCGCAAAATCGTGACAACTTGGGCTTGCCGGCACGAAATCTCGCTTGGTTGGAGGCACCATGGACATTGACCACGGCTGCAACTCCCAACTGCTTACATTCCACTGTGACCAGCTCCCGTAGGCTGGACCTAGCTTTGGGGACGCTGGATGCAAAAAGACACACACACACACACAACTCAACCCACACAGCACACGCACACACACACACACACACACACACTGCTCAACCCACACAACACGCGGGCTGAACACCTGGCTGGCGGTTCAAACCCCTGAAACCCCCGAAGCCATGTCCCCGTTCTTACTCACCTTATCCCTCTGTATGGCTTGGATGGGCGTTGCCAAAACACCAGGCCTCCGATCTTTCGAAGGTCTCCACCGAGCCTCAGGGCCAAGGGCCAAGTCACCATCGAGGCGACGTGCTGTGCTCAACTCGGAGCTCTGTTGGCTTTGGGCCCCTCAAGGTTTGGGAGTCCCAGGTCCCAATCAAACACGGGCCGAGGCATGGAGCCAAGAATCGAGGCAATGGCTTGTCCTAGGTGCTTGGAGGAAATCACGGGGGCCGACAAGCTTGTGCACATGTCGGCATGGTCGTGGGAGCAATCACCGCACCCGCTGTTTTTCGCCTTTCTCCATGGCCATCCCTTTCCAAACTTGCACAGCAAAGCCTGGGCCGTTGGCACGAAGAAACCACTGGGTCCCCGGCTGAGCTTGATCTGCTCCTGGGCTGCTGCCCTGGCCTGACATCCCACAACATCTGCTGCAACGTGAGCCAGCGCCTCCTTTTGGAAGGTTTGCCCCAAACCAAAAAATGAAGAAAACAAAAGTGGGGCAAAAAACAAAGAAACTGCCTGGTACCGAACCACCCACCCCAAAATCGCACAGGGCCTCTGCCGCAAGCTCCGCCAGGAAGCTGAGATCGTCGTGGCGGTCTTCGGCTTTCGGCGCCGCGCCCTGGCCGCGTGGCCGTGAAAAGCTCGAGGGAGGTGGAGGTCTGGGCTCATGATTTTGACCGGTTCCTAGGGGCTTCTCCAAAGTCAGACATTGGGTTGCGTCCTTTACGCTACCCACTTAGGGGGTGACTTTGACAAAGGTAAAAAAAATAGGGGGCCAGTGTTTGTTTGGTGGGGGCGCTGGAGGTGGACCAGAAGCGATGGTTGGAAGAGGCTGCGGTCGTGGACCGGCAAAACTCCTTCGCCGAATTGCCACAATCTTAAAGCCATTAAAGGAACGAGGATCACCAAACCTTTGCGAAACATCTTCCGAGTTTCTTGGCCCTGGGGATTTGCTTGCCTCCGTGCCGCACCCTGGGCCAATCCGCTTTGGGATGGCCCCGCGTGGGGCAACCCCAACCACCCCGGGGTTGGCTTCCGCGAGGACTTTTCTCCGAACGAAGGCGGGAGTCGGGTGCGCCGGTTCGACAGAGGGAAACCTGCCACCGCTTCATTTCAGGAAGCAATTGGCACAAGTTGGTACTGTGGAACCATGGTTGAAACCACTGCTGGTTGGCATTTACAAGGGAATCATCAGACACCAGGGTGAAATTTAGGTGGTGCGAGCGTCACAGGCGTGAAGCTACTTGTGGTGCTCAAGGAACAAGGCAAAAATGACCATTCCAAACCTGGTTTGAAGGCAAAAAGCCGACCAAAGGGCCTTTCTTCTCGTGAGTGCATAAGTTGTCCAGGAGCATGCTGCAGCGTATGCCCATGCAGCATGGGTTCGGGTTCGCGTTCTTTCTTTGCGGGATAGATCGCAAGGGAACCCCGCACCCATCGATACCCGCGCCGCATATGCAGAAAGGGGCGAGGCCGCAAAGAATGTCCAAAGTGATCATTACCATCTGGCCGGTGTCAGCCTTCGATCTCCTTTCTCTGTTGACCCCTGAGCAAAACATAATGTTACTCGGGGGGTCGCTGGCCGCAGGGGGACGCGGTCCCCCTGACGAACCTTGATTCCCCGAATCTTCACGCAAGTGCTCCAGCCACAGCCCCTGCAGCCCACAGAAGGCGAGCCAAGTGCTCGCCCGACTTTGGGTGAAACGCGGGGGGCGAAGCCAACCCAGAAGATGGCAAAGCAGTCTTGCAAAACCAGCCAATAAACCCACGAGAATTCGGGGGCACTTCTCAAACACACCCCTCAATTTTTGTGTTGAGCGCGTGGCTTCTCTGGCGCCAACGCCGGGTCCCAATGGCAGTGGGCTCAGTCCTGGGCAATGGGCGTGGCTCTGGAAATCAAAGCTACGTGCAAATCCAGCCACTCACCCAAAAAAACAAGCAGATGCCTTCCCACAGCACGGATTTGCTGGGTGTTTGAGTTCTTCCGAGTGGGTGAGCAAAACGCAGTTGGAAACCCCAGATGGTCAGACTTGAGTCAGGCCCCTGACCCGCCTCGGGCGCCACGAGCAGCGTGGTGGAGGGGCAAAGCCCCGCTTCCCTGGCAAAGCGCTGGCCATAGTCATGGCACATAGGAACTCCTCAGATGAGGGTGCTTGCGGGAGGGAGCCTTTGATGTGGTCCAGTTCGGTTTAGAAAGGCAGCCCTGCCACATTTCGACGCAAGCTTCAAACCCCCCACTCCCGGACCAAGAGATGCTTCCTTCCAACAACTTCCAAGGACCTTGCATGGCACACCACTGCGTGCTCCGCGCGATTTGGAATCGCGTGCTCGAAGGGCCGGTCGCGAAGGGCGTGCCTCAACGTCTCAGATTCCCGCCCCTTGAGGTTCTGCACCGGGAAGGAGGTTCTGGCGCAAGGTCCGGCGATGAAAACCAAAGGCCAGGGGACAAGCATGGTGCGCAGGAGGCTGCTCAGAGAAGGAAAATGGTCCCTCGCACTAAATGTCCAGGCAAAAGAGAAGATGCAGTTGCCTGCTTCTCTTGCGGTATTGATGTTTATGGGCTGTTCCTCCGAAATAGTATGGACAGCCCCCATTGGTCCACTCTATCTTGTCTAGGGCTCCCACTCCTCTCCCATTGCGCTTCCAACTTGTAGAGGCGGGGCTATTGAATAGGAGCACCAGCTCAATGAATTGATAAGCCACCTCTGGCCCAACTTAAATTATGAAAAAGGTGCCCGGCAGGCACCCGTTCAACAACATCTCCTGAAAATGCACACCCCGCGCCCCCTTGAACACTCGAAGATTTGCAGACAAAACGTGAGTAGACCTACCCACCAGCGTCTGGCATGCCATTTGCTCAACTCCCCTGGAAAAGTCAGAAAAAGTCGGTCCAGCAGTGATAGCTTCCCTGCAAAACCCTTAAGGAAAAAGAATGAAAAAATCCCCCCCCCCCCCCCCAAATGCAAGCAACACCTCTGAGAATTCCAGGGGTTAGGGGCCCAACCCCCCCCCCGCCCCCCCGCCCTCCCGAGGGCCCCGCCTGAGGTCAAAGGCTTGGCCATGGCCGGGCCCCTCCCACTCCGCCACCGCGGCAAACTCGAAGAGCGCCGACACCTCGCCGAGCCGCCGAGCCGAGTCGGCCGACGCCCACCTGACCTCCAAGCGAGCCCAAAGGTCAAAAAGCCCCGCAAAAAGGCATGGAAGAAGTTGCGAGGGGTTGATTTCAAGCCATGGTGTGAAAAATATCGCGAGGTGGTGGTTTGCGAGCAGCTCGGTGTTCGCACAGTTTTTGAGCGACTTGCTGCACATGAATTTCTCAACGACGATGCTATCGTGTTTCTCAAGCCAGAGTAAGCATGATGCCTTCGAGCCGCTACGAGAGGCTCTCGGCGCAAGCTTCTCTGCACCAGTTCGTGCAACTTCTGCGTGCAAGATCGGCGCGCTACTCTGCAAGTTCCCTGCGCAAGATCTCCACGCAAACTGTCCGCCCAAGTTCTCTATGCAAGTTTCTCTGCTCCAGATATCGCCTCAAGTTTATCTGCTCAAGCTTCTCTGCGCAAGTTCTCGACGCAAGTGTCTCTGCACAAGCTGTCTGTTCAACTCGCTCTTTGCAAGTTTGTTTGCACAAGTTCTCAACGGAAATTTCTCTGGGCGAGCTCTCGGAGCACATCTCCCTGCGCAAGCAAGCTGTGCATGCTTCTCTGGCCAGCTAGCTCCCTGCAAGTTGCTCTGTGCAAGCTTTTGCGCGCCTTGCTCGGCGATAGCATCCTCATGCACGGCAAAAACGTCTAATCGTTTAACCTCAACCGATCCACGCAGAGAGTCGTGCGGGAACCGCAAAAAGTCGCAAAGTGCTCGCCGATGACGCAGCGGGTCATGATTGACCCTTGGTAGGTTTATAAGAAAAGCCATTTGTTTCCAAAACCTCCATGTTAGGACCACCTTGGCATGACGGGCCAGGGCCAGGTTGCCGCAGGACCCAAAGGAAATGAACACCCCGCCCATCGGCCTTGGCGGAGTCCGGAAAGGCCCGGCAGATGGTCTGGCCGCTGGGCGCGCGGATGCGCACCGTCGCCTGACGCACAAACTGAAGCGAAGCGGGCTTTCAGGCTTCCCCGCTGGCCGGGCCCAAAATCGAAGGTTCTTCAGCACGTCGGCTGACGCCAGAATTTTTGGACGCACGATATTTGTTTGGTTGGGAGTTGCTTGCTTTCCCGTTCTTTCTGGAGCATGCCCATCCGGCCTGCGCCTCGCCCGCCTGGGAGCGTGGCAAGCTTGAGTTTGGGCCCAATTTGCGGGGGATCCGGATCACGCTTGGAGGAGCATTCACCTTACACTTCCTTCCATGTGTTTTTTTGTTTTTTGTTGTTGTCTTGTTGTATCGTGGTCTAAATAGATGCTGCCCATCTAAGCGCGTCCTCAACTTGGCCCCGACCGTGGTGCATAGAGCATGAAGCCTTACACTTCCCTTCAGAAGTTGCATGTCACTTGTGTGTGTGTGTGTGCCGATGGTACTGCCACGTTTAGAGCCCCAGACAAGGGGAAATTGAGGGACCCCAAACAAACAATCAGACGCCAGTTCCGTGAATACGCTCAGCGTTTTGAGCAGTCCAAAGAACTGAGGGGAGATCCTTTTGGCGCATGGAAACCTAGCGTTTGCTCAGACCTCGCAGTGAAATCCGAGGGATCAGGACCCAACGGGAACTGAAAGAACCTCCCGTTTGCTTGTTTTGTTGCAAAATAGATGGCCCCTCATGTGGGGGTCCCCAACTTGCTTTGTTCAAGTAGGTGGCCCCTTAAAACCGTAGTGCCATGGGTTTCGCGGTTCACGCGGTTCACCGGGCCATGGATCCGTCTTCAAAGGCGCCCGCCTTTAAGCACAAAAGACAGATTCCCATCGCCCCCGATTCACCAACCCACACACACCCTCTCCCTCATTTGCCATGGCTGTCCCTTTCCCACGCTTTTTGCTCTTTGTCTTTGAGGGCGAAACCTCCACACAAGACTCCGGTTTGCCCATCCCCTACACCTGAGCCATCGCCTCGCGGTTTCGTGCGTCCCTTGGGCCCCCGTGCCGCCGGCTCGGGGTTCTCCTTTTCGAACCGCGCCCGCCGCGCTTTGATCTCCTCCACCAGGGCGGCAGCCTCCGCTCCGACGCTCCGAGCCAACTGGGCGCCCCCAGTTGGCTCCGCACCAAAACCCCGGCGCGGCTTCGGCGAAGAAAACATACTCATGCGGGTATGCATCAAAATACGGAGACGCACATGTGTTCCGTTTGGCTTTCCCGTAGCCCAACCGGAGAGGAAATACAAAGAAAATGACAAAAGTTGGGTTGCCTCACAGTTCCAACCAGTTTGAATGCTTCCTGGCTTCGCCTCGTTCCATTTCCTCCAAGCTTCCAGGGCTCCCCGGAACAGCCCAAAAGCAAACGCCAGCGGAAAGCTGTCCATCGCGCGCGCGGCCTGCGCGGCCACGGCGGCCTGCCGCTGCTCCTGCCACGTGGGGCGGGGCACACGTGGGGCGGGGCAATCTTTCGAGGAGCCCACCCTTAAATCAAATTTCCCAAAATGGGAAAACCAAAAGGTCAGTTCCGTTTGATTTTCTTTGCGTGAGTGCCCAACTGCCGGACTCCTGAAATCAAAAATATTTGACGCCGCCCTTAACAGGCTGCGCAGCACATACCGAAGAGAACCTGAGAAACTGGGCCTTGTCATCGCCATTCACAGCGCCTGACTTGCAGACTCGAAACGTGCACTAACACTTGAATCTGGACCTCATGTTCCCACCCATTGGTGGTTTGGATGGGGTTGGATGGATTCTTGCCCTGCCCACTGCTCAATCAATCCCAAATAGGATTTGCCTGACAATTCATTGGAGCAACATGGGTAGCATGGCCTCTTTTTTGTCGGGTGCCCCACATGGGCTCCGGCTTTTTTCGTGGTTTCCATCTCAAACCACAAAACGAGGGGCGCCCGACCCCCCAAAAAACCCACCACACCGATCGCCAATCACTTGCCCGGGCAATCGCCTCCTCCAGCGCCGCCTGGCGCGCCGCCGCCTCCTTCTCCGCCGCGGCGATGCGCCGCAGCTCGTCTTGGCGGAGGCTCTCCTGGCGCCAGGCGCTGTGGGCGATGGGGCGATGGGGCGGGCCACGGACGGGCCAGACTGCGGGTTGCGAAATCCGCGAGCCTCGCACCACCCAAGAAAGCCTGATTTCTGAAGACTTGCAAATGCCAACAAACAATGATTTCGCATGGCTTCAAAGTGGTGCAGGATTTTGTCCATCCACGGGATTTTGTCTTCAATCTTCTACAATGTTGAAAACTGTTACCACTTCTTGGCATGACATATTTGAAGGTCTGGGTTCCCCATAGAAAATCTGCGAAAAGTGATCCCAGGTTTCTCATCGCAAGACCTCCCATCCCAGCCACGGAGGTAAGCCTTTGGACACGGAGAGATATTGACCCCGTATGATCAACCCCAGCTAATCAAGAGGGGGGGGTATTCCCCACATTTGACCCGGGCAAAAACCGCCCCGCCCCCCTTTGTACAAACTGGTTGGTTGATTCGGATGGATTCAACATTACCTGGGCGCCACAACAATCCCTCCACCCGTCATCCGACCTCGTACTCCTCGTTCTGCGAGGCGATGATCTGCCGGTCCTCCTCCCGACGCACCGCCGCCTCCTCTGCCGCCACCTCAGACAACGCGCGCCGCCGGCGCGGTAAGAGGCGCCTCCGAAGATGGAGCATAAAACACTGGCACTAGAGTGTTGTTGCGGGATCTAAAGGGTGACCCTTTCTCGGCTCCGTATAAGTTTGATTCGGGGGGGGGCTACCCCAAACTGGTGGTACCCTGTAAACAAACCAAGGTGCCAGACAATATCATATGTATCCGTGCATGTTTATATATATATATATCATCTTGTGTATATATATATATACACACCATGTGTATATGTATATGCATATGTATTTACATATATACATCTCTATGTGTGTCGGACTGCCTCTTGCTCCAAGAGCCTGACGGCCGCCACCTCTGCAGCAGTCCCCGCCCGCGCCTGAGCAAACCAGCGGTCAACACGGACTGAGCGAATGCCGCGAATGCTGTGAAGGGCGCGAATGGCATGGGAAGATCAGCGAGTCCCTCCGGTTTGCGTCGGACTTTTGCTACTGAGTCCCCAGAAGTCAACTCCCACATTGACCGTATACTGCACAGACTTTTGACGAACATGTGGAGGAGGAGGGCCGCTTAGTGAGCATGGCAGGAGGGAGGCAAACTAACCCACCGGCGCAACCAGAAACAAACTCTTGCAATTTTGATGCCTTGTTCTTGTTGCTGGTGCTTTGGTGCTGATGTGAGCTTCCGCGGACTGGTGGAGAGTGTAGATGCGTGTCTGTGTGCCTGTATTTGTCTTTGCCGTTGTGTTTTTCGAAGGGCGCCCTTCCACCTTGTCAAGGGAGCCAATATCAAAGGAAAACACGCCCTCTCTGGGCGCTCCCTCCGCCCCGAGCGAAAGTCACTTGTCTCCAGCAGGTCTCTCCGTGGCCTTTCCCAACGGGCCTCGAATTGTAGAAATAACGCACCCCTTATCCCAGGCCACGTGGGAAATCCCAGCGGCTGCACGCGATAGAGCGATCAACCCCGCAAAGAAAAACAACCCAAGAAACGTGGACGTATTAACAAAAAGTGTTAAACACTGCCCTGACCACAACTCAAACCAAGACCTGCGGCAGCACAACCCAGGTGGCCCAACATACAGAGCACCTCAACACGCAATGGTAACAACAGGGTCACGTGTTGATAGAAGGCCGTGGTACGGCGGCCATTTTTGCACCTCGGCAAGATCCTGATCCACTGTGTTTTACAGCAAAGCCTGCGCATGCACCGTCTTGAAAGGTGAAAACACCGGGTTTTCGTGCCTCCGACCCTACAAATGTATTTTATGCCTTCGGGTTCAACAAGTGCCTAAATTTTGAAAAAGTAGTCTTTGTGAAAGGTTGAGACCTTTCATGCGCTTCTCCAAACAATACTGAATATGTACTGCAACAAACGAGGGTTGACGCCTTGGCCACGCCCGGCTTTGCTATTCACAGAACTTGGCACATACTTCTGAAGAGATTGCCAATAGTGGTCTATGCGCTGAGTTCTTGTGACAACGCACTTGGGAACCTTCCTGCGTTTCACGGTGCGTGTGTCATGCTTCACATGGAAGGAGACAAGCCAAAGTTGTTGCCAGTAGGTCGAGATAAAGAGGGCCCCGGCAGGACAAGGAGGAGGTAGAACGAACAAAGGCAGTCACAGGGTCCGTGCCAGTCAGAGTCAGCACGCGGGGAAGTCCAAGTAAAAGTGGTCAGCATGCCAAGCAACACGAAGCAGCGAGCACGAGTGTGGGAGGGCACAGCCAGCAAGCCTCAGCAAAAGAACAAGAGAAACAGCAACAGCAGCACAAAGAGGTGTCCATGCCGCTGAGCAGTTGCGGCAGCGGCCATAGCTCGTGAACGAAGTCGCTACCATCCCCCCCCCCCCCCACCCCACCCAAGCCCCAAGAAAGCGCCGAAACCTGCAAAACCACCACGGCCTAATATCAACACGCCTCCAACAACACTGGGGGGATAAATCAGCCATTGCAAGGGACCATTGGGAGCCAACAAAGGATCTTGTTGAGGGTGCCCACTGTTGGGCTTGTAGATTGAAGTGAGCCAACAAGGAAGCAGCCCTGTCTGCCAGTTGAGGCCGGCGCAGCCACTGCCACAAACCTGGGCAGCCAACCCAAAGGCTCGCAGTCCGGGAAGCTCCCGTCATGTCACCTTGTCAAACTGAAAAACCGCAAAAAATAAACTTTGAGAACCCGCAAGACTCATCTTGAGAGGGCTCTCCCTTGAAAAGTTTGAGCTCTTATTTCAGTTCCAATTGGGTGACCAGGGCGTTTCATTTTGGAGGAGCCTTTTGGATAGTTTCAAGGAACCAAAAGAGAGCCATGCATTTCAAATCTTGGCGTGGGTTTTTTCTCCAACATGCTTGGTGGACATACGTCTAACTATGTAAATGATCCACCAGAGGGTCCCGACCTTCACGTCACACCGACGTGACCTGGGCCCACACCAGGCGGTCCGTTTTGCGCTTTCAGCTTGGGGCCGGCACTCGCCCAGTGGCTCGCACAGCTCCAGCACGTCGCCCACCTAGTCGGGCATCAAGTGAGTCATAATCCAAACCAGTTAGTGGAATGGAGAAAAAGCCCGGTCATCAGCTGTCAACATATGGAAAACACGTCAATGAAACAAGCGATTGAACCTGAGGCATCTGGGTCCTCCAGTGGAGAGGTTAGAATAAGGGTGCCCACTTTTTCTGCAGTCTTTTTTTTTAGTAGGGAACCCTCCCGCAAAAAAGGGACGGTAAAAGGGCACTACTGGGGGACCTAGTCATAATCCAAACCATGAGTTGGTGGGAAGCTGAGCTTTTTTGGAAGAAAAAACTGGTCAACAAATGAAGAACATGAAGCACATGCATCAGCCGGGTCATCACCAGCGAACCAGAAGAAACATGTAAGTTTGTTTGATACATACCTTGGTTGCTAGCGAGACCCTGCAAAAAGAAACGTGGCTTTTTGTAGGTACAATGGAGGTTTTCCTTTGAATTCCCCAAATACCTTGTTTGCTGTTGACCCCCCTGAACAAAGTTCTTCACTTTTGTGGGTTCAACTCGGAAAACCAACTTGATTTCAAGCAAAAAAGTGAAAGTCTAAAGATCCGACCCTAAAGCGCCCCGTTGATGACAGTCTAACACGCTCCCGTCATTTCACGCCATGGAATCAAACACGCAAACAAAGCTGCGCCCAGTGACAGGAAATCCGAGCATTGGCCGGCTTATTTTGCCCAATAGCGATCAAGACACGGGAATACCTATTTTGCTCGGGGAAACCCTGCCACAGCGGATTCCGAGCAAGCGAATCGAAGGAAGCTTGTAGCGCACCTTTTTTTGGTGGCTGGATTTCAGGGAATCGACGCCCACCTGCGGAAACATGCTCTAAGAAAACCCCTTACACCAGGGAACAAACAGATAGCACAAATCCCTTTATGTGGGCAAGTAAAGGGGATGACTAAACCCAAATTGGTTGGCATTGTCATCTAAGTTGCGATGTCGTCTTGGCCTTCCTTTGCAACCCCCTTCGCCTCAAAAGAAAAAAGCAGCAACCTCTAAAAGGGCTTACACTTCGCCTACCCCCTAAAAAAATAATGAAGCACACCCTAAACCCGTGCAACCGGATCTCCTCCCCAACCCGCCGAAGATGTCCGGCAGCCGAAAGCCCACCGCTTCCGCCCCCCCCCCCCCCGCGTAACGAAGTCCGGGCCTCGGCGTACTTGGCGTTCAGCACCGCCGCCAGGTCCTCGAAGAACTTGGTGAGGCCCGCCTGCCTGTCCTGCGAGCCCACGGCACCACGAGACCCTCGGTTGGTAGATGGGACCTCATCTACATACATGTGTATATGTATATGTATATATGTATACGTACGCACACATACATATATACATATGTATGTATGTATGTATGTATGTATGTATGTATGTATGTATGTATGTATGTATGTATGTATGTATGTATGTATGTATGTATGTATGTATGTATGTATGTATGTATGTATGTATGTATGTATGTATGTATGTATGTATGTATGTATGTATGTATGTATGTATGTATGTATGTATGTATGTATGTATGTATGTATGTATGTATGTATGTATGTATGTATGTATGTATGTATGTATGTATGTATGTATGTATGTATGTATGTATGTATGTATGTATGTATGTATGTATGTATATGTATGTATGTATGTATGTATGTATGTATGTAATGTATGTATGTATGTATGTATGTATGTATGTATGTATGTATGTATGTATGTATATGTATGTATGTATGTATGTATGTATGTGTATGTATGTATGTATGTATGTATGTAATGTATGTATGTATGTATGTATGTATGTATGTATGTATGTATGTATGTATGTATGTATGTATGTATGTATGTATGTATGTATGTATGCATGTGTGTATGTGTGTATGTATGTATTTCTTGTGTGTATGTATGTATGTATGTATGTATGTATGTATGTATGTATGTATGTATGTATGTATGTATGTATGTATGTATGTAGGTATGTATGTATGTATGTATGTATGTATGTATGTACGTACGTTCGTATGTATGTGTGTATGTATGTGTGTGCATATGTATAATGAGTGCCCCATGACGTTCACGCATTAAACAAATGCGCACGTGATTCGTGATGTATGGATGGATGGATGGATGGGTGGATGGATGGATGGATGGACGGATGGATGGATGGATGGATGGATGGATGGATGTAGGTATATGTATGTAGGTAGGTAGGTAAGTAGGTAGGTGGGCATGTATACTTGTATACTTTTATATTCGTAGCTCATCTGGATCTATGTGCTCTTTGGCTCGCACGTATGGCTCAAAATAACCGACTATACTTGTTGATACATTGATGTGGGTAAATGTTGTACGTAAGGTCGTGCAGCAGCAGCAGCAGCAGCAACAGAATGTACGTGCGCTTGCTCCGTGAACTTTAGATTGTATCTGCCCCTCTTCGGTCATCTGGTCAGACAAATTGCTGCTGCTCCCCAAATTTCGCCTTTTTCCCGGAAGCTTTTTCCTAGGCACACAGAAAAGGATATGTTCTGATGCCGTTCCATCCCACCGTTCAATCAATTTCTTAGCTGCGAACAGACTCTAAATAGTTAGCCACGAACACAATGGCTCTTAGCTACGTATTTTTCCTTAGCCGCGCCCACGCAGCTGCCAGCAATAAAGCCATGGGTCCAACCCGTAGTCCGATAGTCTTCTAATGCTAAAACCAAGAAAACGCATTGTTTGGAGGCCGAAAACGCTCATTTCGGCTTTGTCTTGGTTAGCCTCCAAACAATGGACTACGAGAAGACAGCAGAGACTATCGGAAGACTACGGCTTGCCAGCGCCAAAACCCAAAAGAAGCAAGGTTTTGGAACCGAAAGCGAGCATTTCGAGCATGTCAGGGCCGCAATGACCGCCCTCGGCCTCCACACAGTCCGTTTTCTTGGTTTTAGCATCGGAATACTGGCGGAAGACTGCAAAGACTATCGGAAGACTACGGGACGACTTCAGAGACTCAGGCTTCCACCAGAACAAGTGCCAAAACCAAACAAACAAAACAAGGATTTGGGGCCGGAGAGGGCCGACGCGTTCCAGCCGTCCCACGTTTATGCATGGTTGAAAACGCATGCTTGCATATGGTTCACAATCTAAAACTGTCCATGGCTAGAAAATCTTCCGCGCAAGGCCAAAGAACAGCTTGCGCATGGCCAAGTGAACGCTTGCACATGGCTAAAAATAGTTCTCCGCCGCTCCATATTTAGCCTACCCCAAAATACCACATATGGGTGCGGATGGTTCAAAAGGGATTCCAAAAGGAAAACCGAAGCCGTCTTGAGGCGCTCCCTCTCCTCCCGCCCTCCCACCACACCAACCCCACCCCATTTTGACACATCTGTAAGGAGACCCCACGCGCCCGACAAAGAAAGCGAGCCCACCTCAAGCCGAAGGCGAGCCGGCGAGCCCGCGGGTGGTGCCTGCAGGAAGCTGTCATCAAAGCGGCCGGATGACAAGGACCGCCAGGTGACCTGGCGGGGCTGGCTCCCAGCCTCTCCGCGGATCCGCGCATCTACCAGTCCCAGAGCAGAAGTAGGGTGTGCTTTCTTCTGCCTGGATCCAAATCCTTGAGAAAGGTAGTCGCTGGATGCATCCTTCTACCGGATCCAAAAGCCAAGGGCTTGCAGAACAAGGCTCAACCGGGCCGAAGAAAGCTGTGTTTGAGTTCTGGCCACTATTATAGAGGGAGCCCTGAACTTGAGTAGATGGACGCAAGGCTGACACAAGCAGCAGGGGTGAGGAAGTTAGGCTTTGTGTGGCGCCCGAAGGCGCGGGGGCAGCAACTCAGTGACCACCAAGATTTTAGATAAGACCAACAGGCCGAAATTTGGCCCTGTACACTTGCTTAAGCGTCACCCAAAAGAAGGCTGTGGACGAATCATTCCACTTTTGTCGAGGCGTGTTGGGAGCCTGTAGAAGTGTGAGTTCCTTCACCACGACCAAATAAAACGGTTGCAAGTTGCAACCTGAAATAGGTGGTTAAGAAAAATGTGGAAAATGTGGTCTCAGCCTGTTTAAACTCAAGGTTGCTCCAGAAATCCTAGCAAGGTTGGTTGAATTTGTGCGCCCCAATGTCCCACCCTTCTGGCTTGGTCGTCTTTTTGCTTGGGGCAATCCGGGGTTGACTCGCCAAATGTAGGTGTGTCTTCTACGAGGGTATCTCTTGGACCGTTTTAACGAAAAGACAACACAAGGAAAACCACGATTTGGGGAACCCTCCCCCCCCCAAAAAAAAGAGAAAAAAGAAAAGGAAAACAAACACTGCCCCATGCCGGGCATGGGGGGGGGGGCGCGGTGGCGAGGTCCCAAGCCTTAGGCGGCAGCCTTGGCAAGGCGAGGTCCTCGGCACGATCCGCCAAAAGCCGCGAATGCCTTTTGGGGGGGCGTCCGGATGCGTCTTCTTGATAGATTCCGTGGTTTAAGTGTATCATATGTATCGCCTGCTCTTCTTGAACTTGATCAGTGCTTGTCCCTGCTGTTCCGATCATTCGCTGTCTTTGCTTTTCTCATTTGTCCTTTCCTTTCCTATTTTCTTTTGGAGTCGATCGCCGCCCCACGTGCCCCGGATGCGCCAGGTGACCATCACCTACTTCGTTGGGGAAACTGCGAGGTTCGGCGCGCGGCGCCTCCTCGCACAAACCAAATCTGCAGATTTCCTTGTCAGAAGTTTTGTGGCCCAGGTCCCTGCATTCACCTTACTGCTTCTTCTTGACCAAACCGGGAGAAACGCCCCGCCCAGCACTTGGCCGGCCCGGTTCACGCCTCTCTCTCTGTCTGAGCCAGGCACGCGAAGCTCGGGCATCTGCGTTAAGCGGGCCAGCAGCTGATCCACCTACCCGCCCAAGTCTCTGCAGATGAACATGGAGAATCTCCTTCGACTTTTTCTGGGCCACACATGCTTGCCAGTAGCATGGTCATCCCCTTTTGGTGCGCTTTCTGGCGTCGTAGAAGAAAAATATCAGCTGGTACGCCGCGTTGGCGCATGGCGCGGCATCCATTCTTCTGCCACTTCTCAGCCGCAAACCTCACTTGCCTGTGTTGAACAAGGAGGGCAGGAAGCCTTATACGGCAAACAACTCCGGGGTGTCAATCCAGATGGCCGGTTTGCGAGATTGTTTCAGAAACATAAGGGGCTTCCATGAGCACTGGATATCCAATAAAATTAATTCGCTTCGAGCCTCCGCACTCACGAGCTTACGGCCGTGAACACGGTTGTGTGAATTCAAGCATGGTTTTCGAGTGGCTTGGGGCCTATGACTGCTCAACAAGCTTTGCATTGAGAGCCTTATCCACCTGTCTGTGTTTCAAATCCAATTGTCTGCGAGCCGATCTCGAGAACTCAAACATCGGTTCTGTTAACAAAAGCCAAGCCCCTTCCAAAAAGAAACCCGACGGGGGATTATACGAAGTTGCTTATTCACAAACCACAGCAGCACAAAAGCATCACCCTTTCCGAGCTTCAGGGTACACTCAAAACACGAAGGCGCAAACATGAAATGTAAACCCAACTGTGCGCCGGGTGGGACATTAAGCAAAACCAGACCGGCCGGCAAGCTGCTCTGGCGGGATACTCGGCGGGATCCACTGGCGAGCCGCTCTGGCGGGATACTCGGCGGGATCCACTGGCGAGCTACTCCGGGATACTCAGCGGGATACTTGGCAGGATCCACTGGCGGGCTGCTCTGCACTGGCGGGCTGCTCTGGCGGAATGCTGGGTCGGGGCGTGGTGTAGAAGCATCGCAACAGCGGATTCCAACATAAAATCTAACAACCCTTCCTGTCGGGTGGGGAACAAATCAAGAACGCCAGCGCAGAACCCTGAGGCTTCTGAAAGAGAACCTTTCAGCATGGAGTCGGTTGAGTTTTTCTGTTCAACCATGGGCCCAGAAAATTGGCCATCTGCCCCGCCAATGCTGCGCGGGCGGTCTCGCGCGCGCTTAAACTTTAACAACTCTCCGGATGCTTGCCGCATGCTACTCTACAAAAAAAGTTATCAAGCCGAAATTTCCGCCGCAGTCAAAGCCCCCCCCCCCCCCCCGCCGTTGCCACCCAGCTCTTCCCCTCAGCTTCGGCTTTCCGCCTGGGAGAAGCGGAAGATCAGGTCCTGGGGCGGGCGCCCGCAGGTGCTGAACCTCAGCTGGCCCGGGACCCTTCCGCTGCAGACCGAAAACATCCCCCCACCTTCAGGAGGAGGGCGGGGGGTCCCTTCCCCAGAAAGGGGTTGTCTTTTTAGAGGGCTTGGGTGTTCACCGGAGTACCCATAGCCACCTTGTTGCAGGCAGACCGAAAACCCCAAACCCAATCCCTAAACCTCAAATGGACCCCTGCCCTAGGTCCTCCAGTGGAGAGGTTAGAATAAGGGTACCCTTTTCTTCTGTAGTCTATTTTAAAAAAGGGTAAAAGGGCACTACTGGGGGAACCGGCCCACTTTTCGGGGAGGATCATCCGCGAAGTCGGGTGGGCAAATCACAAGCTAAACACTTCCGGCCATGAAGCTGAGCAGCAGACAGCTGGTTTAGTGGAACCTGTATACCCTCGCGCCAAAGAATATGTCAACACGCACGGCCTGCACCCTATATGCACGCAACTTTGGCAACCGACTCTTGAAAACCCGGCCAGTGAACGGCTGACCTACATGATGTAGCCTACAAGCGGAAAACAGAGACATGCATGCACATAAGTACAAGTGATTGCACCACAACTTTTGGAACATCAGGAGAGGGGTTGTTTTGCTCACCGCTTGCAAAGCATGATTGGCCATCTTCAGGCACGCTAAACTTGAACTGTTGGAGTGTTTGCCTTGCCCCTCCTTCCCCTGACAAAGGCCACTGAGACTCGCAAACCTTGACACCCACCCCCAACCGCGCCCTGCAAAGACCCCGAAGACGCAGGAGAATTCATCGCGACATCTCTTGTCCCTCGCCCCACATACCCCAATCCCGGTTTGATGTGGCGGCCGTTCCGTCCTCTTGGTCGATCCTCCCAGTTCTGGGAGCGCTGCTGCGCCCGGAACTTGGTGTGCTGACGCTGCCCGGCCCCTGCCTGAGACGTGCGACGCTCCTGAAAGCCCGGCTTCCTCCAGTCGCACCGACCGGAGCCTAGACATCCACAAGCAAGGGAGCTTCACTATGGGTGTCATTGGCGCAATTGCCTGCCTCATGCAGTTTGCCCGGACTGCCATACCAGAACCCAAGCACCAAAGTATCCCAGGAGGCCCAAGTTTGAAGTGCAAAGAATTGGGAAGAACGGTGATCCCTGAGGACATGGATTTCAACAGGCCCTCAGCCGCCAGCATTGAAATGCTCCACAACAATGCAGTGCCACCTTGGCCGCCCAATAGCCCGAGGCCATGTGGCTGGACATGCGAGGTCCCATAAATCCCAAAAGTGCTCAAACTGCACGCCTTGGCCCTATCAAGCCTTGGGTACAATCTTGGCACCTTCGACGGGAAGGTATTGATGGATCAGCATTTTCTCTGTTGTGTGCGTGCGTGTGCAGATACATGAGTCTTCCAACCACCTCACGACAAGACGGTGCAACTTCAACGCAAAAATGATGGCGTAGCCCCTTTTTTGCCATTGTCAGCGTGGACTGGTCCGAGAAAAGCAGGCGTCAGCTTAAACCACGCAAGGCGAGGCCGAAAACCCTGTAATTCCCTTGCCGCTGTGTCTCCTCGCGGGCGCGAGGCCCGGGCCCTAGAGACTCGGTCATCGCGGACGCTTCGCGCGGCTGGGAGAGGGAGGGGAGGGAGGGGAGGGGGCAGGATGGATGGCCGGATGGCCGGGTGATTGAGGAATCTGGGCAAGTGGTTTCAAATGACACGGGCCACATTCCCGATCTGAATCTGTGGCTGCCTGTGTGGTAGAAGCTCTGGCTGCACTCAAATCACCTTGATCCGACTGGCACCCACCCGCCCACAGCATGTCATCTCATGCCACAATGGACCGGTTGATTCAAAGAGGGGCATCCAATCTTAGAGGGGACTCACTTAAAAGACCAGCCCCCGGATGAATCCAGTTCAAAGCACAGGCCTCCCTATGTTTGACTGCGCCATTTGACAGATGCGGGAAGGAAAACCATCCACACTTCAAAGACTCAGCCTCAGGACTCATTGATTCCCATGGCCAACTGTGCTTCCGATGGAGCACTTCCCGTAATCCGCAACATCCAGGCCCTCTGAATGGCAGGGCCCTCCGGATTCGTAGGGGCCGTGGCTTGTCGGGTACCCTTTGTGGGGGAAGGGAAACAGAAAGGAAATCACCACATTTTGGGGGGTCCTGCCATTTCGAAACAAAGAAACCAGCCAACTGCAGCTAAAATCATGTCAGCCCGTCCCTCAATCCTGTCATACGGCCTTCATAGGGATGTTTGGAGCGTTGTCTTCCATTGCCTCCTCAGGAAAACGCCGAACCTTCTGGGTCCACAAGAAACACACCTTCGGAACGCCTGATGTTGTACCAGCTGTGTTTGGCAGTTTTCCTTCCTCCGGCTTCCGGCGCGAACCAAAAACATGATGGTCATTGACACGGCCTCCGGCTCCCCGCGCAGGCCTCGAAGTCCAGGTCCAGGTCCAGCATGGAGAGGCTGTGGTCCGGAGCCTCCGGCTCCACCTCGGCTCCGGAGAGTTTTCCGACGCGCGGGGGGGGGGGGGGGGCTTCCCAAACGGCGACCCCACTATTCGGATGGCTGAAAAGGGGGAACACAAGGAGACAGAATCGATTTTGGGAGCTCCCGATTTGTTCAAGAAAGAATGGGAAGTTCGGGTACGGGTCTAAACATGGCAGCGCCAAACGGCCGGGACTAGACCCATGGAAGACAGTGATGGATGGCCTGTTGATCGAATGGTGGGAACGGCGACCAGGATTGACAAACCATCAAGAGGAGGACCCCTGGTTGACTAAGGGGTTTGTCCCATTTAAGAGGTAAGAGGGGCAGTGGCCCCTGCTCATCCAAGTTGATCTTCGAGCCAGCACAAGGCGCAGGCGAACGGCAGCTCTGGAGGCGGCGGGCGCTCCTGAAGACCAGTTTTCTTCAATGATTCAAGAATTCACGGGGAGATATTCGACGAGCGGCAGCCACACAGGCAACCAAAAGAAACCGACACAGTACCATTTTGCCACACCCATTTTAGACTATGTTAGTGGGGATTGAGATGTTCACTGGACCTGCGGGCTTTTGACCCATGGCCACATTGGTGGAATTGCTGGACCGGAAATCCCATCTGACATGCTTCCATCCCCTCCTTTGCCCAAGCCGTGGCAGGGCCCGTCCTGCAGCGCCCGCTCGACGTTGGCCGCCGCCGCCATGGTTTCCAACACCGCCTGCTCCAAGTGATCGGCCTCACCGATTGGCTTAGATACCGGCAGGAGAACAAGAAAAGATTCCTTTGAAATGGGGGACCCCTCTGAATGGGCCGTTGCGATGCACAACAAACAGCCAAAAATCGACACGGCGGTATTCCGAGAATTTCCGAGAAACACCCATCTGGCTGTGGCTCACAAAACCGTACCCAAAATGGAACCCTGGCAAGTGGAAGCATGGACCAAAACCTGCGTAACCAGGCAGTTTAATTTTGAGTCATATTCATCGAGAATTCGTTGTATCCGAAAGCCTGAGACCACTAAGCCCCACACAGCCTCGCGCCCCCACCTGGCACGAGAAATGAAACCCGAGGCTAGCTGACGACCAAATCGGCCGCGTTGTGCACATCACGGGCATAGAATCAAAGACTGGCTGGTGCTCAGCAAGGGAATGACCCTTGCAGCTGGTGGCTTCCTTTAAGCGAATCCCTAGGTTCATTCTCTCATTCCCTGCCGAGCACCAGCAAGAAGAACGGGAACGGCGTAAGATGAGGTTTTATTCGCATGAGCCAGCAACGATGCGTGAAACCATGTGACCCACTCAACAGGAGCCGTGGTGCACAAAGCCCACCAACTCGAAGCAAAGGGATGGCCATTTCGTGTAACTACCATTCCGGGGATGGCAGCTTCGACCACATGGTGATCATTGAGGGGTTGCTCCAGAAGTTGCGTTGAGCTTGGCTTTTCTGGATCTCTGGGCACGGGCCCACATTCAGGCCGCGAGGTGCTGTTCTGGAGCCCTTTCGATCCAGGCTCTACGAGTGCTCAACGAAGTTTCTGAGCCATCTGGTCCACGGGTCAAAATCCCGTACCCCCAGTGAATATCCCAATCCCCACTAAAATAGATTTTATAATGGGTAGTGCACCTACCCCAAAATGGTACCATTGGTTTTGAGCGCCTTCTCATGTCAATGGTCACGAAAAGTGCAGGCTGAGCGCCTTCTCATGTCAATAGTCACGAAAAGTGCTGGCTGAGCGCCTTCTCATGTCAATGGTCACGAAAAGTGCTGGCTGAGCGCCTTCTCATGTCAATGGTCACGAAAAGTGCTGGCTGAGCGCCTTCTCATGTCAATGGTCACGAAAAGTGCTGGCTGAGCGCCTTCTCATGTCAATGGTCACGAAAAGTGCTGGCTGAGCGCCTTCTCATGTCAATGGTCACGAAAAGTGGTCACGAAAAGTGCTGGCTGAGCGCCTTCTCATGTCAATGGTCACGAAAAGTGCTGGCTGAGCGCCTTCTCATGTCAATGGTCACGAAAAGTGCTGGCTGAGCGCCTTCTCATGTCAATGGTCACGAAAAGTGCTGGCTGAGCGCCTTCTCATGTCAATGGTCACGAAAAGTGCTGGCTGAGCGCCTTCTCATGTCAATGGTCACGAAAAGTGCTGGCTGAGCGCCTTCTCATGTCAATGGTCACGAAAAGTGCTGGCTGAGCGCCTTCTCATGTCAACTGGCTGAGCGCCTTCTCGTGTCAATTGTTGCCTGCAATGCCTGTGCTGGCTGAGCAAAGAAAGCTGAACAGCCAAGCGCCTACGCCCGCCCAATGTTTGCCTGCAATGCCTTCGGATCTGCTGCCTACACCTCATGCACAGCTGTCGCTACTTCGCAACTTCCGAAGCTTCTGCTGGCTCTCCCCTTCTTTGGGCTTTGCAATGGCCACTTTGAAGGCCGCAATTTGTAAAACGCGGCGCTTGCTCAACAAGTAATCCAATGCGAACTGCCAGATTGGCGCCAAGACGGCAAATACGGGAGATGCCTGGTGGATGGGTGAAGTGGCTGATCCACTGCGCGTCGCCCCTTCCTTCTCCGTCCGCCAGTGGGAACTTCGTTCAGACAGCATCTGGTATATCCTTCGGTCCTTCGGTTGCTCTCCTCCGCGGTGTTCTGTGCTTGGTGCTGATTGTCGCGAATCCGAGCCAGAATGCATCTGAAATTCTTGGCGGACCTCATGAAGATTGTGGATGAGGTTGGCAGTCCTTCTCGGCCTCAATATCTACAAACTTGGAGATCTGGATGGAATGCGAACGTAAGATGAGTCCCCGTCGCAGGCCCCCGACAGCGCCATGTCCAGAAACGAGTTTTGAGCTTGAGCACACAAGGCAAACGACCACGCCTGCTTGAATGCCCGTCGCACAAACTGCACACAGCTCTAGCGCACGAGCCAAGCTAAGCACGGGACTCCTCCATTTCCTCCATCATCCTTAATGGAAAAAGCCCCGGTCTGCAAGGGCATGTCACTTGCAGCACTTGCTGCATCTGTGGGCCGCGCTGTCGGAAGGCTGTCAGGGGAGCAGATTCCCCACCTATGCTCAAAGCAGCATCCCTAGCAGTGGAAGGCTCACGGCCTTGCATGACTAGGTCCTCCCGTGGAGGTGTTAGAATAAGGGTACCCTTTTTCCTGTAGTCTACATTCGTAGGGGAGCCCTCCCCCAAAAAAGGGTGAAAGGGCACTAGTCGGGGACCTAGCTGAATTGCGGGCAGGGAACGCGCGGCTTCTTCCGGCCCATCCGGCTCCTCAGGCGCGAGTGGTTCTTCTGGCGCCTCCTCCTCGGAAAGCAGCTCGGGGTTCAAGGGACAACATGTCTGAGCCATCACCGGCAAAATCGTTCCAGGGCTGCTGCCCCCATGGTGGGAGCGCCACAAAACCAGCCAACGGGCTCGCTTCTGTACACAGCGGCATTGAAATCCGGAAGCTGCGGCGCAAGGGGTCTTGAATGTGGAAATGACATCAAGTGACGTTACCCTGTCTTCCACCAGCATGGCAGCTGACAACCGGGTCCCTCCAAGAAGAAATTATCTTCCAGGTACCCTCCCACAGGTGTCATGTTAGTGGGAAGAAGCGCAAATCTACGGGACACAGACAAATGGAACAACTTGAGGTCATTGTGACTCAAAAAGCTTACCGTGACCCCTGTTTGACACCAACTCGTTGAACCTGGGAAATTGTGAGGTGTGGGCAAATTTTCCACACCACAGTTTATGACCTTTGTTTGACACCAGCTTGCCGTAAACATTCCACGATGTAATCAGCTTCACTTCGCGGCCATGAGGGGTGAGTGGCAAACGTGGACTGACAGCCGAAAGCGTCCAAAGGAGCATTGGAGAATCTGTCCCATGCAAATCCAAATATGCCTCACAAGCCACACAATGTTGAAAACAACTACGCCACATGCACGTCAGGTAGGGTTGGAGGAAGTGTCTGTTACCCGGACGTCCTTGGACAGGCACATCAAACATGAGCTGCCGCGTGCCGGCAGTGGCCGGGATTTACCGCCCATGTGACGAAGGCTGTGGTTGCGGCAGGCAACGCTTGGCTGGCAGCCCTGACAGGGCGAACGCATCGATTTCCTGAGGCAGCACTGGTCGGCCGTCAAGGCGGGACACGACTTGCAGGCTTTGGAG